TTTTAAATTAATTAATTAAATATATTAAGGATCACAAATTCTATATAAGTGGTCACATATTACTAATTTGTCACAAACCATAAATTTTACATGTTACAAATTATTTTACGGTCATGATTCAAAAATTTTACATGTCACAATTTGTTAATCGGTTACAAATAAAAAATTGAAACATCACAAATTATTTTACGGTCACAATTCAAAAATATTATGTCACAAATTGTTTTTCGGTCACAAATCAAAAATTTTATAAGTCACAAATTATTTTACGGTCACAAATCAGAAATTTTATAGATCACAATTCAGAAAGATTTATAAGTTACAATTTGTTCATCAATCACAAATAAAAAAATTTATCCGTCACAACTTATTCATAGGTCCCAAATCACAAATATTATGAGTCACAATTTAGTAGGCAGTCACAAATTGTCAAATTATCGATCACAAATTAACAATTTTTTAGGTCACATTATTTCTTGGTCACAATTTATATTTTTCATTGGTCACGTGTTGTTTATCGGTCAAAAATTAATGAATTTAATGGTCACAAACGACCAAATAATCTGTGACCACAACCACCACTTGTGACCTCCACCTCACCACTCCCATCAGCACCGTCACCGTCGAATTTACTTCATTGGTCACAGATTAAAAAACTATAGATCACAGTTTATCGATAACTCACATATTTTCAAATCTCTTGGTCACAAATTATAGAAATTTAAGGTCACAAATTAATAATGAGTCACAATGAACTAATAGTAGGTCACATACACCAAACACCCCACCCCGTCCCGATCCTCCACCAATACTTGGTCACAAATCGACCAAATAATTGGTCACAACTGGTCAGTGATGACTAGATCATTGCTCGTATACACCAAAATAGTGTTCACATACCACCGCCACAAACAATACCATACTAGCACATGTGACCACCCTCACACAATCACAACCGCAAGAGCACCACCACCCCAAACACCACAACACCAACAAAAACGCATCCCCACCACCACCAACAGACGCACCACCTCTATTTTGTAACCCCCAACAACTACCAGCACCAAGCAACTTGCACCACTAAACAACCCGCACTCAACCACTACACACCACGACCGCACCTAAACCAACCACCGCGCACAGCACCATGCCCAACCACAATCGCACTCACCACCGCGGTATGTTGTGAGCATGGTGGTGGATCTATGTGCAATAAAAATCTCTATTGTGCGTAACAAGGTTATATTAGTGGCTCAAAGTTACAATCAAGAATAAGGCATTGATTGTGAAGAAACATTTGCACCGGTTGTTAGGTTAGAATCCATTTGTATGCTTCTTAACATTTGCATGTCATAAAAATTTTACCCTTTATCAAATGGATATTAAAAGTGCATTTTTAAATGGATTTATCCAAGAAGAAGTGTTTGTAGAACAACCACCCGGATTTGCAAATCACAAATTTCCAAATCACATTTTCAAATTTAGAAAAGCTCTTTACGGTCTAAAACAAGCACCTAGAGTTTGGTACGAACGTTTGAGCAAATTTTTACTATCAAATGGTCTTTCAATTAGAAATGTGGATTCCACTATCTTCACTAAAACATACAAGGAAGATATACTTATTGTTCAAATTTATGTGGATGACATTATCTTTGGAGCTACAAATGTTCAT